GGGGGAAGGAGGGGAGCGAAGGGGGGGGAAAGATCGCGCGGGGGAAGAAGGGTGCGGGCTGGAGGTAGTGGCGCGCGGCGAGACAGGTGCGCGCGGTATCGCGCGGGAGGTGGGAAGAAGGTGGGGGAAGCGGGAGCAGGATCGGGATCGGAGAGACAGGACGAAGGTGGGGGAAGCGGGATCGAGATCGGGAAGACAGGAAGAAGTTGGGGAGGGAGGAAAAAGGATCGCGCTGGGAAGAAGATAGCGCGGGGGTCGAGAGTCGGGGGATCGCGCGGGGAATCGGGGTCGGGGAATCGGGGTCGGGGAATCGGAATTGGGAAGGGCGGGGGGTTTCCGCGCGGGGGATTGCGAAGTCACGGGAGGGCGGGGAGTGGGATTGGGTAGGCAGCAGGGGGGGAATAGCGCGCGGGAAGAGAGGTAGATATGGCGCGTAGGAGGACGGGGGAATGAAGACGAGGAAGAAGACGACGAAGAAGGAGGGATGACGACGACGACGAGGAGAAGGAAGAAGAACGGGGGGGAAGGATGGTTGAAGAGGACGAGAAAGAACAAGAATCGAGGGAGGAAAGGAGGAGGAGGAAGGAGGAAAGGAAGCCATGACGACGACGACGAGGGGAAGAAGAAGAAGAAACGAGGGGGGAGGAGAAAAAAGAAAGTTTATTGGTCACTTACCTGTTTATTGGTCACTTACCTGCACGTCGGCTTCGGGATTGGTGGCGTTGCAGCAGCGACGAGGGAGGCAGCGAGGTGCTGACGTGGCAATGGCGACGACGGCAGGTACGAGGCGCTGACGTGGCAGCGAATGACGACGACGAAGATGACGACGATGGCGATGATGTGGTAACGACGGCGACGAGGTCGACGGCGACGACGATGACATGGCAACGACGGCGACGATGATGGAACAGGGCGGGAGGGAGGGCCGAAGCCGCTCCGATACCAGTGTGACGAGGCAGAGACAGAGTGGTGAGGCTGAGGGGGAGAGAGAAGAGAGAGAGAGAGAGAGTGAGAGCACACACCCACACTCACTCGACTCAGACACGGACTCGACTCGACACAACGGACACAGACACGATGTGGCAAAGTCCCGAAGTCGCGAAGTTGCAATCTTGGATTCTGAACACAAAGTCGCGGCAAGTCACACTGAAGCACAAGCACGGAGGCCGAAGACTGAATGCCCGTACTGGGCTTGAGTCCAGTCTTAAGTATCGGACTCAAGTTCAGTCCGGAGGGAAGAAGTGCCATTGCCTCGGGACTGAACTGAGAATCAAAAGTCTGAGTCTGGGCGCCCGAATGTTGGATGGCGCCAAGTGTCGAAATCCGAAAGTGCCAAAGGAGGGATTTGAAAACGGGCGCCAACTGCAGAGGGCGCCAACAGTCAGAAACCGAAGAGCAGGAAATCAAATAAAAAATAAAAAATAAAAAAATTGCAGGCTGGCGGGTGGTACGCAGCGGACCAGGGATCGAGCCCTGGCTGAGTCCGTAACACTATCCCTCCCTCTAGAAGGCAACGTCCCGGGTGCCAAAAGCCATGAAACAATGCTGAAGTCTGGGAAGG